GGGGGAGAAGCAGGGCTGGCCAGGGGAGATTGGGAGGAGAAGCGGGGGAGAATCAGCCTCTCTCAACTTGATACATGCAACCTCCCATGGAAAACACCTATCTGAAGCAGCTGACTCAAAAAAACTCCTGTCTATATATGCTGTGAGCAACAGTCTAAAGTCACAGAAAAAAAGATGCATCTATTAGGCAGCATAACTGGTCCATTCTTAGTCAGTGTCCCCTGGTACACTTCCATAACATTTTCTTACTGGTATTCAGCAGAGTTACTGATAAAAGTCAGTGGGTGATGATGATAAATAGTAAAAAGCAAACAGAATGTATTCATGCATTCTTCCACAGACTTACTTCCTAAGATGTACTGCATCCTGCCAAATGCTGAACTTCAGATTGCTTGGGTCCCAGAGGATTAGTGGCATCATATATTAGTAGCTACCTTGCCCTGGCTGGAATGTCAAAGAAAGACTGGAGGAATTATACAAGAAGAAGACATATATGCCCCCACTGAATAGTATGGAGGTCAACAAATCACTACATCCTCTAAATCTCTGAGGTGTGACATTTTGGCTGACAGAGATATCGCCCTTATTTTCCTTTTGATAGCAACTTTGGACGAATTACAGTATGTGCAGTTTTATGTATTCGGATTCTGACAGCTTTGGATGATGCCTTTCCCTGCACAACAGTGACATTTTCAACTTTAGTACATTATTCAAATCTTGTCATTTCATTGAACAATTTCAAATCACAACTCTGAAAAGGTCTCTCTTCTCTGTTTTTTTAAACCCGCCCTTGAGGCAAGAATGAAAACATGGGGAAGTATTTGATGGAGATTTTACTGGTGTGATCACTTACACCTCTCCCTGTTTTGTTCGCATCACTTAAATGGAGACTTAAAAGAATTATTTTTAGTAGATGGCATCCCACAAGTTAAATGATTTTTTTTTCTTTTGGTCTGCAACAATCTGGAAAGGATATCAGACCTAGACAGCCAAGTTCCTAAATATGGGCAGGAGAGATGGTAGCCTCCATGGGCCCATGAGCAAAACAGGAGGAGGCCAGCTCCATGCTTCTGGAAGGGGTGGGGCCAAGAGTGGAAGAGGCGGGGCTGAGAACATCTAGGCTTCAGTGCTGCCCAGAGTGCAGCACGCCCCACCCCTAAACCCTCAGTGATGTTCCGAGCACACAGTGCTCCAGCCCGGTGCTCTGGCAGCGATTTAAAGGGCCAGGATTCCAGCCACTGCTGCTGACGGTGGCCAAAGACCCAAACCCCTTTAAATCACTGGGCCCTGGGCAATTGCCCCCTTTGCTCAATCCCTGCCCCTGTCAACATGAGCACCTTAACAGGATTCCCAAATCCTGAATTACATAGCTAAAATTGTCACTCACTCAGAAATGCAGTCCAGATCCTTCACTGTTGTAAATCAGAGTAGCTAAGATGAAGTCAGGATCTGGCCCGCAAGGAGCAAATATTGTCTGGCAACTAGATCTAGGGCTTGGTAGTAAGAAATTCTAGAACCTCTCTCTACTTTACCACTAACTTGCTGTGACTCCTTGGAGAAGTCAGTCTCTCTGCAGCAATCCTCCCATTTGTAAAAGAAGGGTAGTAATTACTGTATAGTGTTTAATACACAGGCTGGTTCCAAAATTTAATTTATTATATTTGTAAAGAGTTTTGAGATTCTATTTTCTTTATTAAAATTGATATACTGTACCCTTTCACCCAAGAGCTAGATAAATTCATGGAGGATGGGGCCATCAGATAGCTATTAGCCAAGATGGCAGGGGATGGATCATGGGTGGCAGGGGATGGATCATGATTGCCTGTTCTGTTCACTCCCTCTGAGGCACCTGCCATTGGCTGGGGGCAGAAGACAGGGTACTG